AGCCAATGGTAATGAAGGAGGAAGTGGAAGCTGCATTGAAGGCGCTGGCAACAAATAGGCCCCAGGAATCAATGGGATACCAATTGCTTTGTTTCTGGTAGCATAGTCCATTGGACGTTGCCCTGCTAACCCAAAAGTGGTGCCTTTCTGCCAGTTCAAACCCTCCAGGTGCTCCACAGAAGAAAGGTCAAACTTGCTGGAGGGTCAGCAAAGAGGCTGCTCCCACTCCATAGCAGTGCCTTTGGGGTTTTGGGTTTTGGTGGGGTGTTTTGGGTTTTGTTTGTTTTATCGGATGGACTAGAACCATGTGTCTTTGGGATTGCAGTGCAGCTTCTTGCCACTAGGCCACCAGAGCTCCCTAATGCTTGTGTTTTGAAGACTTTGCAGGGCTAGGTAATCTAGGTTCTTAGGATACTTGCGTCCCTGACTGTAAGAGAAAAAAAAATGCCCTCAAAGACCCTCACCATGTCTCCCAAGGCTACTCTGGAGAATTTACAACAAACTCACCAAGACTTCAGACCCTCTGTGCCCAGGGCTGGATGCCGGTGAGGGTTCACATCCTGACAGTTCAAGAATATAAAAAGGTCTTCTCTTTGGTACTCCCCCCCTTTTTAATTATTCTTAATTTTAATGAAAATTTACAGAGATTTTGGATTTCCATTCATTCATTGTTGCACTTGTCTCCCTGCCCACCCCTTTCCCTCAGTTCACTCTTTTCTTTGAAAAGTAAAAGAAAAATTCTTTCATTGTTATACAATCCCTCTCCCCAAGTCCACTCCACTATGCAGCCTTCATTCTGGACTCATGTCATGACAATAATATCCAATCATATATCCCTTTTAAACAGTTCTCTCTCTCATCTGTTTCCATGCAGTATACATAATTTATCTTACCTTTCTCAGTCTTCCTGATGTCAGTCCCATTTTACATCAGTGGCCCTATGCAGTATTTGTCCTTTTGTGACTGATATATTTCACTCAGCATAATATCCTTCAGGTTCACCCATTTTGTATAATATTTCATGAGTTCCTTGCTTTTCAATGCAGCATAGTATTCCATTGTGTGAATATGCCACAGTTTCTCTATCCATTCATTTGTTGATGGGCACTTAGGTTGTTTCCAACTCTTTGCTATTGTGAACAAAGCCGCAATAAACATGGGTGTGCATATATCTGCTTAGGTGGCAGTTACAGTTTCCTTAGGGTATATTCCCAGTTGTGGAATTGCTGGGTCAAATGGTAATTCTATTTGTAACTTTTTGAGAAAGTGCCGTACAGCCTTCCATAGTGGTTGCACCATTTTACACTCCCACTAGTAGTGAATAAGGGTTCCAGTTTCTCCACAACCTTGCCAGCATTTGCTGTTTGCTGTTCTGTTAAATTTTGTTATTCTTACTGCAGTGAAATGGTATCTCATGGTTGTTTTGTCTTTGGTACTTTTGTCTTCAGCCCCTACTTCACCGCGGCTCTGCAGCATGCAGGTCTGTTGTGGCCACTCACTCGTTGTCCAGTCGCTAGCACTCTGGAACCTCTCACTGCCGCAGTTCTCACCATTCCCTCCTTCCTCTTTGCTTCTCTGCACTCTGCAGCCCTGATGAGAAATGTTATGTCCATGCTGACCAACCAGCAGCCTGGAGAGTCTCCCTCTTCCCAGCCCCAAGCCTCTCTATTCCTCCCCAGCCACCTCCCCCAGTCGGCAGATGACATGTTGAGATCTCTTAAAAATACCACCAAAGATACCCTGTCTTGGTCCTGCTGTCCCCTCTCCTCTCCATGTCCCCTTAACTTTTAAACTCTTGAGTGCGTATACTGACCCATTTCTTTCCACTGTCTTTAATTTCATAATTGGCTATCTACTTCATAGCTGTTCTTTCAAAGGTCACCTGTGAACAAATCTACTGGACTTCTCAAAGTTCTGGGACACTTGACAGTGTTGCTCAGCTGCCTCTTTAAAGCTCTCTTCTCTTCATTTCGTACCTTGTCATCTTGAAGCGCTTTTAAACCAAAACCAGCCCCTCTCACCCGCGCTGCCATTCCAGTTCCTATTCCGAGCGACCCTGTGGGCTGAAGACCTGGCTCATAGGGTTTTCTTTACAAGGGTCTTACTGGAAGCAGACTATCCTGCCTTTCTCCTGCAGCGTCACCAAGTGGCTTTGCGCTGTCAACCTTGATCTAGGTTCATAGTCAAGAACAAACTGTGCCACCCAGGAATCCTTACATGCTTTACCTGACTTTAATTCAACGACCAGTCACGTATTTTACTGGGTGCCATTGAGCCCACTGCTTTGGGGGTGTAGAGATAAATGCATCTTGGCCCTTGCCTGGCTGAGAAATAGACTGAGCTAGGCATGATCAGCCCCATTGGAAAGTTCCACATGTCCTCCAAGACCAGGGACAGTTATGGGTGACCTTTAAAAGAACAACTGTGATGTAGATACCCAATTATGAGATTAAAGACACAGTGGAAATGGGTCAGTGTATTCACTCACGTTTAAGGGTAAACGGGACATGGAGAGGAGTGGGGACAACAGGACCAAGAGTGGGCGTCTTTTGGGTTTGTCCTGTGAGGGTATTTTTAAGAGATCTCAACATGTCATCTGCTGACTGGGGGAGGTACACATATGTAAAAGATAGCTGTTTGGTACCTACTATGAGTGAGGTACTGGCAGTGTGGCAGCTGGAGACCCCTCACTCCTGTGTGGCCTCAGTAGAGCAGCAGGGCTTTCCCTCAGCTGCGTAAGGCATGCCTTGCTTGGTGCCAGTCATGCTTTGCCTGCCTTTATCTTTCTGCACTTCATCAGCTTCTGCCTTGTATTCTAACATTGGGGAATGGGGGGAGGCCTATTCTCTGTATTAGATTCTTTTGCCGAACACACATTTATTGAGTGCCCCTCTGGGTGGGGCCTGAGTGGGTGCTGGTGACAGATGGAGAACGACTCAGAACTTTCCTCAGGAAGCTCAGTCACATAGAGGGCGTGTCGATCCACACTCCTCCTGGGCCCTTGTGTAGCACCTGATACATCAGACACTTTGCAGATATATCCTCTTTTCTATGTTGTGGGGCAGGATATAGGGCCTGGCAGTGCTCCTGGCTATGGCTAACATGTCCCAACTTCCAGGCGGGGAGGCTCCCTCCACTTTGGTCCAGGTGACTTCAGCAGAAGAACCTGGTTCACTCTGCCCACAAGTGACTGCAGTCCCTTCTAGCTCCAGCACTCTGGCTGCCCCTTCCCAATGGGGTATGCACATGCTGGTTCCTCCCAGGCCCTCTGGCAGCAGCATGCTTGTTTTTCTCCTGTACTGTCTCAGAAAGCTGTTCTTTTCTTCGGAGAGGATGGCAAGCTCGGTAAGGGCGGCATCCAAGCCCAGGCTTGGCCCTCTGGCTTTCCTATTCCAGTTAGCAGTGATGAGCAGGCAGGTAATGAAGGCCTTTCAAACAGATGTCAGTTAACTGACAGCACCATCATTTGTTATTTCCTTGGCTTAAAGCACTATCTCCTGGAGGCCCATGTATAACATCCCTGGCGGGCAGTTAACCCATTCACTTACCCAGTGTCAGCTAGACCGCTGCCACCTTCACTGACCTGGGCTCCCCCCCCAAGGTAGTACTCACATTTCATAGGGGTGAGAACTGTCAGCACCAAGAATTTATTTGATGATTCTCCGCTAGTTGTGAAACTGGGATTCAAGTCTTTTCCTCCCCCTTGACGTGAATCCCACTCCCCTGAAGACTAGAAGGCTCTCTCCCCACCTTGCCCCAGCCCATGGACGGTAGCATTACAGCTGAGAACTGTGACTTAGCTGCAGTCGGTCCCCCTCCCTAAGTGAGGAGCAGCAAGGTGAAGGGGTTTCCAAAGGAAGACTGAGGCCTGAGCACGTGGAAGAGGGCCTCTGAGAGGCCAGTGAACGGTTCTGCTGGGACTTGAAGGGGCTAGAGTGCTGAAACCCAGAGAGGGGAGGCAGAGGCAGTATTGGGGAGACTGCTTTCCTGTTAGTGAAGAAAACAGAGTGGAAATGTCAGCTCTTTGCACAGTTTTCTCAGGGGAGGGAAGGGGAGTTCTCCCCAGCACTCTGCATCTCCTGATTGGACCCTGGGCCTTGAGGTTCTTACCAGTAACTGGGAGTCAGCAAGGGGAGGCCAGATCAGGCCATGAGAACAAGTTTTGGGGAAAGCATTTTATTTGTTAATACAAGAATAGAAATTCTGCAATAAATATCCTCTAATAAATAATATCTTCAAATAAATAAATATTAATACAACAAACTTAAGAGTCATGAGTAGATGGGGCTGGCAGGCAGGGCCAGGGGGAGCTGCCCCCAACCCCCTGAAATGCTACTGCAATGTAAACTTTCAGGAAATCTTGTGGCTATCGCCACGGTTGCCCTCCCCAGCCTGGGCAACCACAGATACACTGGGAGAGAGACGGGGGAGCCACGATGATGTCAGGAAGTCATGCAAGGTGATGGCCTGGTGTTCAGCAAGGCTACCTTTGTTGCCCTGGGCTAGTGACGGCCTCAGTGCCCTGGATCTGCTCTGTCCTGCCCCTCTTCTCTCAGTATTACCTCTTTGGTACAAGCCACCCCCAGTGTACCCTCCCTCTTCAATTTTTTTTATCCCATCTCTTCTGTGTAGTGCCAACACCACCTTTGTTTTCCTGAACTAGAAGTGTTGCTGTTTGAGGGGTGGGGTGACAACACACATCCAGGAGGAGTGAAAGGCACTTGTGGTGGTGCCGGATCCCACCCTGCTGTCTCGCTCCCTGGGCATGTGGCAGAGGGGCTGCAGGTCCTGGCAGTGGTGGGCAGAAAAGCAGGGTAACAAGGCCTTTAGGCCAACTTAAACCACTATGGGCTCCTGTAAGCAGTATTCCCCTGTGGAAACGGAACAAGCCTGACTGCACTCTTCCCCAGAACTGTAGGACTCGGGGAGGTAGAGAGGAGACGGGGCTATACTGTGTCACACCCCTGTCCAGTTAAGGGGAGGGCCAGCGGCTCATGCACCTGACACCTCGCTCAACAGGCGTTGGCAAATGGTTGCTCCCTCCCAAAAGGCAGTGTAGTTTCCAAAGGGAGAGGAGAAGGAGAGTGGCAAGGCAGAAATCAGAAGCCAGGGGCCTCCAGGCGCAGGGTGACTGCAGCTGCAGGAGGCTGCTGCTTCTTCTTGAGCCTGTTGAAGTCCTTAGCCGAGCGCCATAGCCAGGTCTGCAGCTCCTTCAGCAGCCAGAAATCATCCATCTTCTGGAGGAAGTCAGTGTGGGCAGGGCCGGGAGCCCAGGTGGGCTCTGTCCCTGGCAGGGGCTGGGGCAGCGGGTAGCCCAGAGCTGCCATGACTCCTGCAATGCTGCCCAGCAGGCCCTGGAGGCTGGTGCAGAAGTGGGCCAAGCTGTGGCGCAGCTCGGCTGTGGCAGCCTGGCGGTTGAGGCCACGCAGGTAGCACAGAAGGTGGCTGTAGGCCTCATAGTTCTGGGTCAGCCGCAATTTGTCGTTGAGGCTCCGCCACACGCCGAGGTCAACAGTGGCTCTGGGCAGAGTTTCTGCCCCCAGCCGAGGTGGGTTGAAGTCAGGCTCGTTGAAAGGAGGGCCCAGGTAGTTCAGCTGTGGAAAGGAGAGGGCGATGGGGAAGGGGAGGGCAGAGCCACAGCTCCTGGAGGGGCCACCTGTCCCCACAGTGTCTACTTGGCATGTGCCCTGCTACAGGCCTCGTCCACACTATGCCTTTCTAAGTCGTTTGCGTGGGCATGACGAGCTCTACGGAGAGGTGCAGAGAGAGAAAGGCTGCAGTGGGCGCTCACTCAGGACCCGCACATTGCTGGGTCCACCAACTGCTGTGAAGCCAGGGCAGAGAGGAGGAGGAAGGACCACCGAGAGTGCCAGAGAGTGAAGCTGGAGAGGTAGAGGTGGTCAGGAGAGCAGAGCCCAGGGAGAGGAGCCGTGGAGGGCAGCAGAGCCCCACAGTGTGGCTGCAAAACAGAGCAGACGGTGAGAATGCGGAGAGGGGGAGCTGGGGAGAAGACGGGATGCGACCTTCAAGAGTCTCAGCAGTAAACTCCAGGCCAGATTACAGGGGGTTAAGGAGTGTGTGGGTGGAGAGGAAGTGGAGGCAGAGGGTGTAGACCACTCCTTCGAAAAATTTGGCAGGGGAAGCCAGGAGAGAGAAAGGGTCGGGAACCGGAGGGGGTAGCAGAGGCAAGCACAGGGAGACCTCAGCTTGGACATGCCTGGTCCCACCCCACTGTAGGGACAGGGAACAGATGGCTGTTTGATGATACCCCAAGATGAGAGTTGGCTAAAGGAGTAGGGTGGCAGAAGGAAGAAACTGAGGCAATCTCCAGAGTGCAGTGGGAGGAAGATTCTGGAAGGCATAGAGCAAAGAGGGCAGGGCCCTTGCCAGTCCTAGGGCGAGACTTGGGGCCCAGGGAGAGGGCTGAGGGCCATGTCAGCGGACAGAAAGGGAAAAGCGAGGGGCGAGGCCTGGGGGAGGCAAGGGCCCAGGGGGAGGTTCACACACTGACAAGCACAGAGACAAACTAATTTCCTCGGTGTATCCCGGGGCTGGAGCCAGCTCCCCCGCCACCCTCCTCCCCTTCCTTCCCTGGCTCCAGAGTAGGGTCTGGGATTGGAGAGGAACTCGGGAAGAGGGGCCAGCTCCCCATGGTCCTTGGCTCTTCTGACCTCCTTCTTCCCTCCTGGGCGCTCTGAACACCTCTCTGGACCATCCCCAAGCTCCAACAGCACAACCTCCATCCCATCCTGATCCTTGCCACCACTGGCCTAGGTCCCTGCATCCCATCCCCTGGGACCCCCAGAGGAGCCCATCCAGGATGGGAGAGGCAGACAGAAGGAGGCCCAGGGGTCCTAAGCCACAGGGCCCCAGGACTGGGGTAGGGGCGAGCTGGAACACAGGCGCAGTAGGCGGGTCCCCTCCATCCCCACCCAGCCCCACCCGAGCAAGAGACACCACAACACGGTGTAAACAGAGGAGACTTCCCTGGCCCCCAGGGGGAGGCGGGCGGCTGGGCCAGCAGCCAGTGAGGCAGTGGGCCAAGGCGGGTGTGAGGCCTGCCCACATGCCTAGTCCTGGGGCCAGGGAGAGGGAGGAGGGGGCACAGGAGGGAGGGCAGGAGATAGGCTAGACAGGGAGACTGCTTGGAGCCAAAGGGCCCCTCCTCAGCACCCCATCACTCACCAGCCCCCATCACCTCTTCTCCCCACAACTCCTCTTCTCATTCTTCACCCAGCTCCCAGAGACCCAGGCCACCCCAATACTCACGTAGGTCCCAGCCAAGCTTCGAAGTTGATGCTCCAGGTAGCGAGTGAGGTCATAGGTTTTCTGGATGGAGGGGCCAGGCCCTGGGTCCCCAGTGCGGTTGAGAGCTGGCACTGTGGGAAGGTGCCAGAGCACAGTGCAGAGGCAAGCTAGCAGCCCCCACGAGTCACCTGTGGATGGGAGGGCAGCGCTGTGAGGGAGGCAGAGCCCCTTGGGATGCAGCTGGCAGCCCCTTAGGTGTCTGTCCCCACCTTGGACTGGGGGAAGAGGGAGGGGGGACTCCAGATGGGAGGCAGAGGGGCTGGAGGAGGGGGATGTGTTCCTGGCCAGAGAGAGAGAGAGTGTGTGTGTGTGTGTGTGTGTGTGTGTGTGTGTGTGTGTGTAGGCATGTATGTGTTAAGGATGGGGCTTGGCCTGTGTGTGTGTCTGCATATCAGCAGATATTTGAGAGTATGTTTATATGGCAGCTAAGAAAGAGCCTTTGGCATGTCTGTCACTGCATGTGTGCCAGTGTGTGTGTGTGTGTGTGTGTGTGTGTGTGTGTGTGCACCTCAGCCACCTCTCCAAGTCTTAGGGTTCCACTGCTACATGAGAGGAGCCAAGGAAGGGAAACAGCATCCTCAGAGCTGACAAGGGAGGTGTCCATCCACCGTGAGGGATGGAGGGCAGGAAGAACAACCATGGGCTGAAGGCAGATCAGAGGGGTGACCGTGCAGGGAGACTGCTGGCATCAGCCACAATGGTAGGCACACTCTAGACTGACTCCAGGCACTGGAGGTTGCACCGTAGTGTCAGAGGAAGGACAGTTCATGTACCTTCTCAGGAATTAGTTCCATTCTTACCTATGTAAAAATGTGACCTGAGTGAGGACTTGCTGTCAGCCTGCCATGGGGACTGAGAGAGACAGAGGGTGGGGGGAGAGAGATTTGATGAATTGGGCTGGTCAGCTGAAGGTGCTGGATAGTGGGCGTCTAGGATCCAGGGGCAGGAACAGACTAGGGAAACAGGCTCTTGGGCTCCTAAGGGCAGTGCAAAATCAAGAGCACTGTGCCCAGATTCAGTGGGCATTGGAGTTGGGTAAAACAGGTCTTCCCTGGAGGCGGCAAAACTCGGTTGCTCCTTGGAGACTAAGATTTTGAAACTCCGTCTCACGTATTTTGGGCATGTTGTTAAGAGTGGCCAGTCCTTGGAGAAGGAAATCATACTTGGAAAATTAGAGGGTCAACATAAGAGAGGAAGACCCTGGATGAGATGGATTGACATAGTGACTGTGTCAATGGAGTTAGATGTGTTGGAGTTGGTGAGGTTGGCTCAGGGTAGGGCACGGTGAGAGCCATTGTTCATAGGGTTGCTCATTCACTCAAAGGCACATAGCAACAACAAAGACAGTTAAAATAGCTCAGAGCCAAGGTTAGGCTTAAGGAGGGGATGGCTTTGAACTGACTAGTTCATTTCAATGCAATCCCATGAAAAGTGGTTCTTACAGATTCTTAGAGACCCTCCTGTCCCAGACGCCACTGGTAGCTTAGTGGTAAGGAGTTGTATGGCCAGCTCAAAACGTTTGAATCTACCATCTGCTCCATGTGAGGAAAGGTGGGCAGTGTCTGCCCATGCAGTTTACTGCCTCTGAAAACCCACTGGAGGGTCAGCTATGAGTCATTTCAGACTTGACAGTACATAACACCACCACCCCAAAAACACCCTGCTGCCACTGAGTCGGATTCTGGGGTCGGGACTCCTACAGTAGGAGACTGCCCAGCTGCCAAGCATTCAGTTAGCAGGCTGATACATTACACACTGTAGCACCAAAATTCCTTACAGGTGCCCAGAGAGCCAAAAATGTGTGTCTAGAATTACCTGGAGGGTTATTAAAATTAACAATTATACTTTGACCAAGTATATCTGGGGTGGGAATTTTCAGCAGGGGTAAACCCAGAATGAACTGGTTTAAAGCCCTGCTTTAGAGATTCTGGCTGTCTCAGACTCAGGGTTTGGCTGGCTGGTTTTGGTTGAGGTTTGCATCCATCAGGGGATGTGGTTAGTTCAGGCAGGAAGAGGGTTTGGCTGGGGCTAAGTCTTGGGCTTGGCATGTTATTACAAAGGTTAGTTGGGGTTTTAAGGTTGGGTAGGTGAGAAGTTAGAAGTGGTTTCTGTTGTCAGATATTCCTAAAATGACATGTTGCTTTTAAAAAATAAGTTGGATAGGTTTGCAATGTGACTACACTAGAGTTAGGACAAGCACCCTAGCGGTATAGAGGTTATGGTAGCGTTTGAATCCAACCAGCACCCCTGCAGGAGAAAGGCCTGGGTGGTGATCTGTTTCTGTAAAGATTAGAAACACACTGCCATTCATTACAGCTCTGGTGGCCTAGGAGGAGGTAAAGTGTTAGGCTGCTGACCCAAAGGCACAAAGTTTAAATCCATCAGCAGCCCTCTGAAGAAAAAGATGGGCAGTCTCCTCCCATGCAGTTTACAGTCTCTGAAAACCTGCTAGAGGATCAGCTAAGTCGGCTGTGATGTGACAGCACATAACAATAGATACCAGGTCAATTCTGACTTATAACTACCGTACAGGACAGAAAACAGCTGCCTCCCCAGGTTTCCAAGGCTGTGACTGTCATAAATACAATCTGCCACAAAACAGCCTTGCAGTTAGTGGTGAGTGTTCACACCATGCATCATGAGGACAGGGACGCCACAGCATACAGATAACAGGCTAGGAAACCCCAAGCAATTGGAGCAGTTCACTGTCACAGAGGGTCACTAAGTCAGCATCAACTCCACACACAACAAAGTGAGGATAAGGTGTGGAGTAAGAAAAATGTGTAGACTGGTGAGATTTACAGTTAACCATATTATTGAGTTAAGTTTTAGAATTATCACAAACTGAGAGGTTTAGGACTCCAATGACATTAAAATGTCCCTTATAAATAGAGTATGGGTGTCAGGCGGGTTTCAAGTGGCCTGACTGGTCCAGGCTGACTTTCTCAGTTGCTTGGCTAGCTGATTTTATTAATAGAGTGTGGCGGGGGGGGGGGGTGGGGAGGGGAGTGTCTCAGTCACAGGCACACTCTTCTCTGAAGAGCTATTGGTCTAAGAGTGCATGTGTGAGAGAGTGTGGATACAAACACACGTGGGTGTGAGTGTATGTGTGTGCCTATGTATTTAGGACAAAGACCAGGGTCAGGCACAAAATGGGCCCCCTTTCCTCTGCCACCTGCAATCAGTGGCTTCCATCCTGAATCATCGCATCCTCCCTTTTCTAGCTCTTGCCTGACTCTTCCTTTCTCCTCTTGCTTGTACCAGCCAGAGGTTCTTCTCCTCTGCAAAAACCCTTGGGCCTTCATCAGCTTGCTTCCAGGGGACCTAGTGGGATGGCCTACTGACCTTGTAGATACCACATGGACTTAGTTTTTGAGAGGGAAGATCCGCCGAGGGGCCACAGCCCTGCCAGCCACGGAGGTGGCCCTCAGAGTGTGGACTAGTTAGTAGCAAGGCTAGGGGCCTCATGAGGCAGGAACTGGGAGCCTGCTCAGCTGGGGCCCCCTCAGGTTTTGGTCCAGGATGGCTCTGCCTCTCCCATGGAGGAGGGGTGGCTCAGCTTGTCCCCTCCTTTTCTGAGCCCTGTGGGACATCCTAGGGGAACCAGCTTCCTACACAGGGACAGCAGAGGGAGAGGCCTTTGGATAAACAAGAGCTAAGTCATCTGGGCAGAAAAACGGCTCATGAAATTAACCAGACGAGGCCGGTGTTTCCAGGAATATTTCAGTTCTGAGGTAACTAAGTCACTGCAGGCTTGGGGGGTTGAGGGGGGCAGAGAGCAGGGGAGTCGGCAGACCGGCCCACTGAGCACCAGAGGGAGAAGGGGCAGGAGAATGGTGGTCCAGGACAGGCGCTACCTCCACCTCAGCTCCCACCCTAAGGCAGGAGGCGTCCCAGCCCCTTCCCCCTTCCCCCGGGATGGTTCTAGAATCCCTGTAATTTTTAAACAGCAGACACCTGGGGTTGAGTCTGCAGCCCTACCCAGAGGGAGTGTGTGGTGGGCACAGCTTCCCCCCACCCCTGCTCCACGTGTGCAGGTGGACCTTGGGAGTAGCGGGGGGTCCTGTCTCAGGCCCCTCCCCCCATGCTGGCCCCCAGGGCCCCCTCCCCAGCACTTCTCTGGCTGCTGCCCACTGATTGTTTACATCCCGTCTCCTCCCTGTGTTTATAAATCCACTGAGCACGTGAGGAGCTAATGAGCACAGCTCACGTTTCCTGCTGCAGCCCCCCATCCCCATCCTGGCCCCCACCCGGCCAGTCCCTAATTCTATCCAGATCTCTGGGCCCTGGGAACCGGGCCCCCCTCATGAACACACACTTGGCCACCAACCCTGCTGCCCAGGCAGGCACCCTGCCCTCATCCCTGTGCCTCCATTCCCCCAGGCTGCAGCCTCACTGGGGGTGGGGTGTGCTCAGTAGTGCTGTCATGCCAGAGTGATCAGGTGATAGGAATGGTGGGTAAGCTTGGGTGGCACCTGAGAAGAGAAAGCTACAGAAGTATCGGAGAAATGGCTGCAGGTGGAGCCAGCCAGGACTAGCACATGGGTGGCCTGGAGGGGCCTCTGGTGTGGGGGAAGTAGGGGATGCAGAGGGTTAGGAGTGCTGTGTCTGTAGGGTGAGAATCCCCCTGAAGGTAGAGAGGAGCTGTAGGAAACACCCATTTTTCCTGCTCCACTGGGCTGGGCCGGCTGCCCTCCCCTTCAGGCGCTCCTCTCCCTTCCACCCTGCCCTTGGGTCCCTTTCTCCCAGACCACTGACAAGTAGCCTGGAGGCTTATGGGGAAGCATGGGCCTGCAGGCAGGAGACAGCTGGCGCTACTAGCCCTTGAGACTGGACTTTGCCGCCTGCTTGCACTGTGCATGCCAGAGTTCCTCCCAGCTGAGACACGTGGGACTCCCATCTCCTCTGCACCACCCCCCTGCTCTTCTGGACAGCAGGACAGAGGAAACTGAGACCCAGGGGAAGAGCAGAGGGATGCTGGGCCCCTGGCCTGGGAAGTCAGTTGCTAAGGCAGGAGTGGGTATTGATTTGAATGAGGGTCCCCCTCAGGTGAGGCAAGAACCCTGGGTGTGCCAGCAGCAGGGGAAGTGCAGTGAGGCAGTGGAAGTGTGTGTGGGTGCATCTGAAAGTGTGTTATTTGAAAGTGTGTGAACGTGACTGTGGGGAGGGGCTCCAAGGGTCCAGGCCTGAGCCAGGTGGGAGCAGGTAGGTGGGATTATGGGGAGGAATGTGAAGTGTGGTCAAGGAGAGCTGTGGTGAAGGATGTGCAGAGTGGACAGTGGACCGCTGGAGGGTCACCACCTCTGTGGGCTGAGGGCCTCAGTGTAGGTTAGGGAGCAGAGGCGGCCAGCCCAGCCTAGTGTCTTATGCCGGGTTAGTGGTGTGGCTGGGGCAGGGAGGGGACTGGCCTGTCCCTGTGTCATGCTTGCTCAGGGGCCAGGGCAGTGAAGACATCTGCCTGGGTCTGGGTCCCAGCGACTCGACAGAAAAGCATAACCAGTAGCACCCCTCACGTCTGCTGCTGCCCACTCGGCCAGTCCCTTCCTCCCCTGGCAGCCCCTGCCCTGTCCTAGGAGAAAGCCGGCAGGTCCCCTGAGATTGGGGGGTCTGTAGGGAGGGCGACAGGAGCTCTGGGGTTGTTGCCGGAAGGAAAGTAGGGGCCAGCACCAGTGGGGAGGATGTGGTGGCACGGGGGCTCGGCCAGGACCCTCCGCGGTGACCTCTCGCTCCTGATCCCCCTCCCCCGTTGGCCGCTCCTGCTCCTTCCCCTTGTGTGGCCCCGACGCCCCCGGCCCCGCCCCGGCCCACTCCCGCCCGGTTGCTCCCTTCCCGGAGGCGGGGGCGGCTCTGGGGCTCCCGGGCCAGCCCGGCTGCTGCCCTTTCCCGCGCGCCAGCTCCCTGCCCGGCCCGCCCTCGCCTCCCGCCCGGCCAGTGCCGCGGAAGGGCCCGCCGGCGCCGCCGCTCCTGGCCGGTGACGGACTTTTTCCTGCCGGTCCCGCCGGGCTGCGCCCGCCCCCCGCGCTAATCACTCCCAGGCCCCGCAGCCGCCCGCCGCCGGGACCCTACCTGCCTCCGGCTCGCCGGCCGCGGGCAGCACGCAGGCTCTGCTGGGCGGACGAGTCCCCCGATCGGCCCTCCGGCCCGGCCGC